TTGTTTAAGATTTTCATTTCAAACTTTCTAGTATACATTTTTAAGTACTATCATTGCTACATTTTAAGTGTTTTTTTCTTCTAACAGACTGACCTGTGCCTTTTCAAGGACATTTCTATTAAGTTACTTAAAGGCCTCTTTTTCCTCTTAAAGATATCCTTTCAGTTTCATTAGTCATGAGTAATTTTTTGGAAGAATTTAGAGATGACAAAAGAAAACTTTTAAAATGATTCAGAAAGTACCAAGAACTTATTAGCCAACACTTGCCTAAATGCTGTTATTAACTTTGCTCTTACCAAGTATACAGTAAGTTTAAAAACCCAAAGAAACTTTGGTAGAACCCAGAAAGATGCCTTCTGAAGATAAGCTTGTAAATATTCTAAGAAAAATATTTTTACAAAATCCAATTTTTTTTTTTTTCCTTATGTGTTGTCTTTTCTTGCTCATGAAATCAGTCTTGAATCTGTGTCTGGGAATGATTTAATCTACAGATCCAGTTTTTATTTTGTCTTAACTTGCTGGCTAAGAAAAAAAGATAAGATACTGCTGAATTCCAAATTAAATGTATTTATAAATGTATTTGGTTCAGAATTTAGTTTTGCCTCAAATGTGCCAACAGTACTTATCTCTCAGTAACAAAGGAGAGATTTTGCTATTATTGAGAATTCAGTTAAAAATAAAAGTTAATTTGTAATACTAAATTACTTGAGTTAGATTTTTTTAAAAAGACTTTATTTATTTATTCGAGAGAGAAAGCGTGAGCAAAAGAGTGAGAGTATGAGCATAGGGAACAGAGGGAGAAGCAGAAGCTGACTCCCTGCTGAACAAGGAGCCTAATGCAGGGCTTGGTCCCAGGACTCTGGGATCATGACCTGAGCTGAAGGCAGACGCTTAACCAACTGAGCCACCCGGGCACCCTGGAATATGGAGCACACTTCTATCTTAGTATTTTGTGTCTAGTTAGGGTTTCCTAGAGCTCTTGTACACATCTTTTTCTCATCTCATTCACTAGCTTTTGCTTTTTAAATATTTTTCCCATCATAGAGACATTGATTATTGGGAGATTAAATTTATACATGTCTCCAAGTTTGTGATTTTCTTCATTTTAGTTACTAGTACCAGAATTATCCTTTCTTTTTCTTCTTAAAAAGTTTTCAGGAATTCCTTCAAGGTAAAAGACACTTAAAATTTTGTACTTCCCTGCATTTCTTTGAATTATCTCAAGTCCATTGTGACTAGTAGGTCCTGAGAATGGCATCAACATTCATGAGTTGAAGGGAATCCGTTATTTCTCTTGCCACTTTGATTTTTAAGCATAAATTGAGTGTGTGTGTGTGTATTTCATAACTGTAATATCAAGCTCAAAATTTTGTTTACATTAATAGTTATTATTTAACATATTACATTAGTAATGTCAATTTTTCCAGCATCATTTGGCAATTTGAGGAATGAGTGGCTTTTCTGTATGAAATTGCTAGGTGTAAGACTTACTCCTTTAAAGTAATGATCTTTTGATTTTACTTATTTCTATAAGAAATCTTTCTGAAGTGTATTATACTTTCCTGCATCTATAAAGCCTGCATATCTAATCCCTGTCAGCCATACTGCACCTCGTCGTCGAGGTTCTCACATCACTTTGTACAGCAGTACTTACTAGAATGTGTCTTTGTGTCCTGTGTTCCAGTCTGCATTCTGCATCTCACAGCATGCAAGCTTGTTTTCTTACTTGTATCTATAACAAAATCGAGTAACAAGTTGACAGCGTGGTTTTATGAATAAAAGAAAGCAAGAACATGAACATGATTAACATTTATGTTAATCATCTCCGTATAGAATAAAACTGATGCTCTTGAAGAGGTTTGTGTTTATATGAGGTTTTTCCTTCAGTAGATAGTGTTACACTGTTTGTGCTTTAATGCTAGTCATTGCTGTTCTTTTTTTCACCCCTACAATTAGTATCCATTTGTAGCTAACATAGTACCAAAGTTTGATATATATGAGGGCTTGCTGTTTGCAAAAAATTTCTTAGTAGATATTTTATGTAACCTTTGTGATAGTTATTTGTCGCTCGCTTTCTTTCTTTCTTTCTTTCTTTCTTCCTTTCTTTCTTTCTTTCTCTTTCTTTTTCTTTCTTTCTTTCTCTTTCTTTCTTTCTTTCTTTCTTTCTTTCTTTCTTTCTTTCTTTCTTTCTTTCCTCGCTCTCTCTTTCTTTCTTTCTTTCCTTGCCTTCCTCCCTTCTTTCCTTCCTTCTTCCTTCCTTCTTCCTTCCTTCCTTCCTTCCTTCCTTCCTTCCTTCCTTCCTTCCTTCCTTCCTTCCTTCCTTCCTT